TTCTTCAACTTATTTATTTTATTCTTTCCTCAGGGAGGCACAGGTTGAAAGACTTAAAAATTCAAAAATCTTCATCTTGAGCTGCACCCAGAGAAGGTATATTTTCTATTTTTCTATTGCCCCCAAACTCTTTCTCCTTAATAGTAAATCTTCCAAAATCTTCCAAAGTACCCAAAATTATGCATGATCTGAAGAGTTATGCATGCATCTGTCTATGTCTCTTCAAGCTTAAGAAAAGTATCTAAAACTGATAATTTATTGTGTTGAAAAAGGAAATGGTTGAAGTCTGTCGTTGCTTGAACTTCCATTTCCTATATCACCGTTAAATTACCATCAAATATGGGATTTATATTGAAGACACATGGGACTCAGGTTAGCATGGTTTGCTAAACTTCAGATCATATGATAGTTTTCTCTTGTTTCAGGGCTGGTCTACAGCATTTGAAGATAGAGCGCGTCAAGAAGTTCGAGTATTGCTTACCCTGTAAGTGAAAGTTAATGACCCTATTGTTAGTCATTTCTGCTACAACATTTTGTCTTCTTTCTCAGTCAATGGCAACTTAGAGAAAGGTTTGCCTTTTTTTTTATGTGTATGTGTGTGTGAAGGAGAATTGTTATATTGTGTGAGTACCAGTGTTACTAATGCCGGTGTGCCAAAAATCCGCCATAGCGGCCGCCATGTCACCCGCCGTGTTGGCCTATGACGCCGCCATAACAGCCATGCTTCACAAATTTAGCATGTCATAAATCCGCTATTTGATAACACTAGGGAGTACTAGTATTTTATATGTTTAATTGAGTTAAGTTAGAGGGAGATGAATGACCTGCTAATAACTGTAAGCTAGGGTGTCCCGACATCTTTGTTGGTTCAAAGTAGTATGGTGAATGTGATGGTCAGGGTATGTTGGATGGAGTTTTGATTCCATCCTTCAAGAGTTGCTTACTATTTATACGTTCATACATTTTTAGTCTAACCTTTCCCTCACTTGGTGGTTTCAATACGTTCATACATTTTAGTCTAACTTTTCCCATGTGTTGTATGCACCCAAGACAATCTCATTCTTTGCAGATATCTGTTATTTTAGTCATTTGGTTTTGTTGTTTAGATGTTGACTGGTACACTTATCTTATTGATATATAACACAATGTTGATTGTCGACTTCATTGTTTCTAGGCCAACCATGACTGAATAATATTAAAGTCATAATTTTTAACAGTAATGCTGTTGCCTGCCTGGGCAGAGGCCATCATAATTGCCTTCCCACAACTCAGTGCTACGTGAGTTGCTGAGGTGGGTGCCTCTTTCATGTCCTTAGCACCCACATGGCTTGGCTTGGTGCCTTGGCCAACAAAGCTTTGAAGACATTCTTCGAACAATTTAAAAAAAGTGCTAGGTTATTTTGTAACACTTTGAAGGTTAATGTAAATAAAGATTACCCTGTAAGATGTAGAATGTTAATGGTCGTGTAGATAAACGAATCTGTGACTTGTGTTGAAAGCTTAGGAGTACAACAGTCTGCTCTACGCAATTAGTTATTGCAAGATTCCTCTTTGTTGAACTTAATAATTTACGTATATGATTGTTCTTACATTTCTTTTATCGTTGGCAGACTTCTACAATCCCTTCCTGGAAGATGAAGTTGAGCAGAGCACAGTGGTGCAGATCTTGTACCCAATCGACCCCAAGCCGGTAAGACTTCTCTTAGTTTGCATTAATAACAAAAAATGTGAGAACACTTCTAAACACAGCAAAATGGTGCAATAGGCTAACCAAATTATATTACTGGCTCCAGGTTTTCTGTGAATTTGATTGGGAATTAGATGAGCTTGAGGTATGTATGACTGACATTTAATGGTAAACAGAGTATTAAATATGCTTCTTCCGTGATCTTTTTGTGCAAGCCCATTTTTAACCGGTATACAAAAAATTGTTTAGGAGTTCACTGATAAGCTTGTTGAGGAAGAAGAGCTGACGGAAGACCAGAAAGAAGCTTTCAAGGTAAATCTTCACAATGATGGCCATGAAGCTCGTCTCTTATTATATTCAACATGTTGCTTCAGTAACCTGTAGTGACTCCTTATATGTTTTCTCTTAACTGGTTTTTTTTGTTTATTTTATTTATGTTTATATTGAAATTTATTGCCTTCTTTGTTTTTTATTTTAGGATTTTGTGAAGGAGAAGGTTCGAGAAGCTAAAAAAGCCAATCGAGAGGTAATACATCAAACATAGTGGGCCACAACTTCTGGTTTTGTATTATATACATCTCATTTATCATGAAGGTCGTTTGCCTTTTTTT